TTGTACAGTATGTAGCGATATGCAGCGCGTTCAACGCGCTATACTGGATATGAAGTTTTCCTAGAATATTCTTCTCTTGATTTGGAAGAGGTGTTCTGTGAAGACTTTTGTCTGTTAAAGATATGACCTGTTATAGTCAAGATTGGAGATTTAAAGCCAAAGAGAGAAGGGAGGATGGAGATTGCGATAGTCGTATACAGAGCTGTATATGTGCAGTTTTGCGTTTGAAATATCGTAGCTTTCTTGCAGTGATCTCCACTTTTCTTTTTTGTTTGCCTATTCGCTGTTCTCTTCTGGAATATTGGTTTTACAGGTTATTGTGAAATGTGATGATGTCAGTTTTACGAAGCAGTTTTTGCTATCGCTGTTTGACCTGATCCCTGTCGGATGCGCCAGATTTGCTTACAGGAAGAATTTCGAGACGAGTGATAAGTATCTATTGCTTTTATATTGTACTATGTCAACACTTTTATCATTTTGCGCAGAGTTGAACGCTTTTCGACATGGTGCTTAATAAAAGGCGTATAAATTCATATTTTTTAGGTACACTTTATTTGGATGTCCTGCGCAGACAGAAGTGCCATCTGATATTGGCAACGCATTTGTTATTTGTCTTGAAGTAGAACCGGAGCTTGATGACCTCCATACTGTCTTCAAGCAGGTTTCAAGCAGCGAAGATGAGGAATCTCCCGTAAACTCATTATCTCGGTTTAGTACGGCTGGAGCTGAGGAAACGATGAATGTAAGTTTTTCTCCATTTTGCTGTATTAACTTTTGTAGGTTGGGGTATTTTTCTCTCCCCTAGTTCTTTCAAGCAGCGGTAGCTTACCGGTTTATTCTTATCTTTTCTTAGAAGTTAGGTTTTTTATGGATGCTAGTTCAGGATGAATTTCAAATGAGATCTCAAACAGTAACTAGTATTGTTGACAAGGCACAGAGGGAGTATATGCGGTGTCACCTCCGCGTAGAAAAGATGCCGAGTAATTTACCGAGTGACGTGCCCACGATTGTTAAACGTTATTGTGAATTACTCTTGGGTAAGTTGCTTTTATTGCTCTTACTTTTGTTTTTTTTCTTAATGTGGAGGTCACTAATATTGCTGAAAATTTGGACAGTTCATTGTTTTGTAATCTTGAACAAAGCTGGGCTTTTTAGCTTTTCTTCGATAATGTTTTTGCTGTCGTTCACTTCACAGTTTTTTTGAAATTTGAGTTTTTTTGTTATCTTTTAACTTCTAGTCTCTTAAATTTCAATTTATAGATGAAGATATACCTCTTCGTGCGTTGGAGGCGGTAATCAAGGATACTAGAGAACACTGGTTAAAGCGGGCAAAACTAATTTATCAGATCAAAAGTCAAAAACCTGATATTGACATGAATAGCGTTTTGTGCATTGTTAGATGTACGAGCAATGTAAGTGCAGCTTAGAGTAGAAAAAGCTTTTTTTCTCTGTGCAGTCATTCTGCTGTTTTCAGAGTTTCTGTATAATTAGCCTGTGGTAAAGCTTTGCGAAAACTTTGTGGTCATTTCGGTGTTTTCAGGATTTCTATATGCTCAATTTCTGGCAGCAGGGCTTATCTAAAGCATATAAGAATCATGTACAGCATGAGATTGAGTTTTCGCGAAAGAAATGTCAAAGTTTGGATGTTGCTAAAGAGAAGGTGTAATTTCATAGTCAATATTGTTGAATTTAGGTTTGAACTTCTTTGTTTTTGTTATACCACCCTCTTGGAAATGCGGAGGTTCTGATGATTGTAAAAATTGCTTGTTTGAAGTTGTGAGGTTGTTTCGTTGCTACATTTCCTGTTAATGATAAATCACGAAGATTGTGCTGTTACTAATAATACTATCGCCAGAGGAAAGAAAGAATGTTAAGGTCCGCGTAGCCAGCAAGTTCTTACTCCTCCTCTATTTTTAGTTTTGTTTTATTTATTTATGTATTTATTTTATTTATTTATTTATTTATTTATTTCTCTGAGGACATCTATTTTCAAAAAGAAACTCAAGTTTGAGTATTAATGTTTCCATTAGACTATTTAAAGCAAAATTGTACAATGCATTTTTGTTTATTGCAACTGTTGCTTCCTTCACTTTTATGGTGACTTTTTGTCAAGTTCTTATTTTTAGAGATTGCTTTGTTCCAGGCGTTTTCTTTATTTCGAACTAGTCTAATGTATATGAAAATTTTATTGTTTTCCCTGATGATTTTTCCGTTCAAAGTTATTGCTTTACCTCTCTTTTTGTCAAATGAATAAGGACTTTTAATATGATTCGACGGTAGCTAATATATGTTTCTCGAATTTTCCGTGCTGCAGTTTCTAAACACTCTGCTTTTTAGAAAATTGGAATTATAGTTTTGTATAGCTGCTAGAAATAATCGTCTCTTGTCCATTTGAAACTAAAGGTCTCGGTTTTACTCGTTTTCACTCGTTTTTCGTTCATTTGTAATGTTTGTGCATATCGGACGAACTCTGCAATATTAAGTTAATTTTAATTTGTCACTGTTAACAGAAATTTGGTAAATGTTTGGGACTGTTGCTAGTGTCACCAATTCAGATGGCCACTTAAATTCATTTTAATTTATTTCTGTGGTCGGATTGGTGACCATGAGCTGTTGTAGTAGGCATTGGGCGAGTGATTTCAGCCAGTATAAGTACTTTGATTCGTCGCTAAATGGTAGTTTTTCAAGAAACCCTGAAGTTTTTGTACCAAAAGGAGCTGTTGTTAGTCCTTGGTTAGTATTAGGAAGACTGAATTGTGTGATCTCTTGTAAGGAAATATTGGGATTTCATCTTTGTGTTTGTTAATTAAGTGTGAGAATTTTGAAGTCCGAACGAGGAAGTATGAAGTGCCTTGAAAACAACTGTAATTTACCCCCAATTTTTTTTTT